CTCACACCCACCCCAAAATGCAGGCTTGCAGCGAATCTGTGCATTGTAAAGCAGGAGCACCACAGAGCAATTGGAGAAGAAAAAGTATTTAAGGTTGTGAATTTAATTTTGTTCTAGGATTTTCATTTTCATTTATGGCACCCGTTGTGTTTGAGACCACGGACTAATTTATGGATTAGTTTTAAACCCCCAGTCTGTCACACTCAATGAACAATCTAAGTTGGAGAGAATCCATATGAAAGGATTAGAATGTGCCACAGTGGAGCTTACACATGACTGTTTCAACTAAATATTGCCCAGCTGCCTCTCATGCAGTAATTTTTTTTTTCTTTTTTTTTCTGGGACTTGGTTAAATGGCTAGTGTCTCTAATCTCACACATTCTCAGAGCCTTTTCATTTTGTAAATATCTTATACTGCAACGTGAAGTGTATGTGATGTTTAATTTATTCAAGATAGGGTCCCATAAACTGTTTGAATGGCTGGGAGACTAAGAGAAGTCAATATTTAGTGAAATGTGCATCTTCCAAATAGCAGTGCAGGGCCCGCCCTTGGATACCATGTTTGATTATGCACATAAAACAGCTAGAGAGTGACTATTAAGACCATACACACTTACTGGGTTTGCAAGAACGTGAGATTGTTTTTTTGTTGACCATATAAAATAAACGTACAATAAATTTGCCCTCATCGTAATTAAAATTAAAATAGAGACAATAGCTCAGTAGGCCTTTTTAATTTCATAACCCTACACCACCATAAATCCAACACAACTTTTTGTGACCTATTTTTCTCATAGACCTAGCTCAATTAAAGACAGCAACAAATGAAGTTTAAAAAAGCCTTTGTTAGAGCAATTAGGCACTCGCATTTTTCAAGCTAATTACAGCATTCATAACTTATATTGGAAATTTACTGTTTGCATTTTGCCTGTACACGTAGAATGTTATCAGACAATATAATGACCCCACAAGTTGATTCACAGGGGTGGGCTTGCACATCTCTCCAGTCTTCTGATTAAGATACCCTAATAAATCCTACTTCACAGAGCCACACTCACTTCAGAGCCAGGGTGTCTGTGGTTTCTGCATGAAGCCATAATGCAATTATGAAGGAGAATTACATTCTGTCACAGTGCTCTCCTGCGGGGAGCACAAAGTCACTTCTAAAGAATTTTTTTTTTAATTCTTCACTTGAAATAGCCTCTGTTGAGATAGCACACCAGATGCTCTTGGAGAAATGGAATCCACGACTCCCCCAATGCACCCTCCGTCTTGGTCTAAACTTCGTGGCCAGCCTGTGTTTCTGCCGCAGTCTCCTTCTCCATTGCTGATCATGGTTTTACCATTGCCAGCTGCAGTAACTGTGTTGTTGGACTTGAACATGTGTTTGCTTTTAACTGTTTTAGAACATGTTTTTTCCTTCTCAACATCCCTTTCTCCTCCCCTTTTGGGCGCAATTGATGGATTTCCCATCCCCAAAATGGGGAAGCACTGTGAACTATGCTTGGTTTGTTTTTCCAGTGCCCACATGGAAGCCAACGCCTAGCTTCCCTTAGTTTAATTTCGTCGGAAAGCTGACATAATGTTGTGTTGTAGGAAGACAGTAAATTGGGGAGTCACTGGTTAATGCTAAGATACTATTTTTGAGGACTCTTACCTTTAGGTTTTACTCCACCCCCTTCCTTTCATTTTATACTAATGATTTACCTGTGAAAATAGAGCATATTAGAAGTGCTGCTACAAAAATAATGAGCCAACATGTTTGTTGCTTTTTTTTTTATTTTGGAAAGGAGCCAGTGCCCAGCCATAAAATGTATTAACATGCATATAAGTGTTTCTGTACAAATGTATATTTGATTTTGCCCCTCAAATTGAAAGCACCTCAAACTAATGCTTGATTTGGATATTTCAAGTAAGGAGACATGCCAACTGTGTCAAGGGACTCTGCTGGAGAGATGTTTCAACTGCACAATTTTTGGTATTGTTTTTTTATTGCTGTTTTATGCATACAGACTTGACTTGTAAGTAAGTATTGTGTTCTTATGCGGTGTATTGTATGTTTTTCTTCATCTATTCTTCAGAAACTCAGCTGTTAAGTTATATAAGCTGCAGTGACCTCTCAGACTTCTGGTGAATGCTGGCTCCTTAGAAGGGCTCTAATTTTTTGATGGTATAGGGTCCTGAGGAAAGCATGCCAACTGAAGGGGAACACTGGTGTGAATTCATGTGTCATATTTATAAATCAGAAGCACCAGGCTCGTTTGACCAAAAAAAAAAAGTTATGTTTGGCATTCCAGTGCATTTAAACATTGCCTGTGTCGCGTCCGAAAGAGTCTTTGGAGTCTCCAGAACTCAGGAAAATATTACCAGCTAAATAGCTACATTGTAAAAAAGGAGAGGTAACTACTTGCAGTTTTAACCCAGAATCCCACTTCAGCTAGAGATGACTAGCTCGTGTGTCGGTGTCACTACCCCTTTCTGGTCAGAAGGGGATAGTGGAAGGAAACCTACTTGAGAGGTGTAGAACTGAAAATTAAAGCATGGCCAGATGGGTTGACGTTGGAACGAAGTTGGCTCGAAGAATGGTGTTAACACAACTCTGGGAAAAGAATGTCGTCGTGCATTTTGTTAGATGTTTATCCCACTCCCCCTGTAGCCAAAAATAAGGAGAAAATGTCTTGAGCCCCTTGAGGAATTTCCTGGGAGGAGGAGCCAGGACAGCAGGCCTGGTTCTGAAGCCTAGTAGAAGAAGAAGAAAACTTGAACAGCATCAGAAATAGAAGAAGACAGAGACAAACCACATTTTCTTCTACAGCAAGTGCATCTGGCAATGGAAAAAATCATGTGCTATCTCCTCATGCAGCCATGAAGGCAGGACTCCTGGCAGCTCGCAACAGCGAATGTGGTTCTGAATTGTGAGCAAAGGAATGGCTGGATACTTTAATTTTTGGAATGTCACATGATTAGGAGTGTTGTTTGGCAAATTGTGTGGACTTGGGCATTTCCATGACAGACTTTTGCTCTTAGATTATAACAGTAAGATCTGCAGAGCGAAGAATGGATTGGGGTGTGTGTGTGTGTATGTACAGAAACTAATCTGAAAATCTTTAACATGTTCATTCCCATCGCCTCCCAGTTAATTGAACTTTCCAGCTGAACTCTGCTGAAATAATACACTGGATGGAAAACTTGAACCCGTATATTCATCTACAGGCATCTGAGCAGAAGCCGTAAAATGATCCTAAAAGTGCGATGGATTCAGTGACATCTAATTGGCAGTCATGAAGCCGGAGTGCCTGGGTGGGTTGGGTTAAAACAAAGGCAATGTTTGAATGTATGAATCTATTGTTTAACCAGCCTTCCGACCAAGCTTTACTGTCCCAGTCCTGAGCCTTGATGCGTTAAGAGCCATCTGCCAGTCACTGAGTTTGCACTGGTGTTTCTCATCACTTTGCATGTTCCCCTGACTATTGACTAGCAAGTAGATGTGTCATGGCAAGACCCCCAGAACCAAAGAATTTACTGTTTTCCTCACTGGCTCGCAGCTTTGAGCTGAAGGCATGTCTTAAAACAGTGCAACTCACTTCAAATGCTTTTTGCTTTTCATTTATTATTGCTTGTCACGCGATGTTCTTTGAAAGCTTGCTCATATATTACCTGTTCCATTTTTTTCCATTTTCCCTTTTTTTGCATGCCGTTCCTCCTGTTTCTTCCCTTCCTCCAATCCTCTGTTCCCGTCTGTAGACACAACGGCGACGACAGAACCAGCAGTTCACGGTTGGTATCACATTACTGTTTATCTACTTTCTCAGCACTGCTGAGAGGCAAGGCAAGCCTGGGAAAAAGAGAAATGTAGTCTTCAAGGGAAATCGTGTTTCAAGTAGACTGATCTCATAAATGTACTATAATTTTTAAGGCCTGAAGGGATGTCTAGTCTTGTCATTTCTGTTGTGAGTTCAGTAGCCAATGGTTGCCGTCTGCGCCGAGGCCGCCTCCTCCCTGGCTGCCTGGAATGGCCGAAATTTCAGTTGCACAAAGTCCTTATTTATATACCACCACCAGACATTGAAATACAAGGGACTTCAAAAAAACTAACATGTGCCTAAAAATCATAGCATCTGAATTAGAGGCCCAGTTGCTTTCTTCGTTTATAGGCTAGAGTCCCAGGTCCATTTTGAAGAGGAGTCATTTGTGTCACTTAGTTATTGAGACTGAAGGACAGATCAAGGCGGAAGATTCCTATTTAAATTCAGGAGGTGGCGATGAGGACGATCATTGCTCTTCTTTTAATTATGTTCCCCATCATGTTTACCTCCACAGCCTCTTGCGGGTTCACCCTTAATCTGTGTGTGCATTAAAAAAGTTTATGCTAACGTTTGGCAGGAAACAGCCACAAACCAAGAATGATACCATATATAAATTTTAACAGCATTAACTGGGACTTAGAAAAAATCATTTGTGTTTGAGTATCTTGTAGACAAAATACTAAAAGTTGGTTAAGATTTTAACCAAAAGATGATGAAAACCAACTGAGTAAAAGCTCAGGAGGGGGTCTTGGGAAATCCTTTGCCCAGTTTCACCACTGACTTACTAGGTTGGAATAAGTCTATTAACTTTGCTAAGTCTCTCCAATCAGAAAATTAGAATCATGTTTCATCTGTATATTCCTTTATTACTTAGTTCAAATGTAACCCTGGTGACATTATGCTTTTGGAAAAAGATATGTTAAAAAATGGGCTGAATTTTAATAATTGAATCCAAGGGAATTATTTGGTAAAGGGCCTACTTAAATCACTTTGCATGTTGTGCAGGGTTGAAATCTATCATTTAAATGACAGGAGGTGATCAGCCAACCCTGTACCGTTCATTCAACTTTTAGAGAAACATCTCTTCCTGGCACGACTGACTTGCTTAAATAGACCTTCATTTGAGGACTTAACATTTGGAAAAATTTAAACAAAACTTCTGTTGTGTGAACTGTCCTTGAAGGTCAGACCTTGATGCTTACTTAGCAGGTCACTCCCATATTTGGACTTGCTGATGAAGAATTCTGAGGAAGTAAGACAAGCTTAGGTATGGAGCGATATGTGCCTTCCCACTCCACTCCTGCCTCCCCTGCCCTTTCCTGTCCTTGGCACAAAGGGAAAAGTTCATAAAATAAGTTAAAGGGCCAGATACCCCGACAATCATGAGAAATCAATTAGGTATAAAACTTCCACTTGCTAAGGTAATGCCCCATAGTCCTTGCTACATCTCAGGCACTGCACTCCATTAAGCTTAGTTATTTGTAGGTTTCATCATTAATTGAGCACTTCCTGACTTTTATCGATTATTCTCAGAGCTTTAAGACTATTTTAATGCAGTTCAAGAGATTTTGTTCTATTCTTTTTAAGCATCTTTAGGTTCTGAGCTTCCTACAATTAACTTCAAGGTCAAATGTAACCATAAGTTTCCTGAATTCTGTGAGATCTTTGAAGAAATATTGATCATTTATCTCCTAAGACTCCGGAGTTCTATTTTCTAGGTCCCTTCAATAAAATCCATGTACTTATGTGACTCTAATGGATGTAGGTCTTGTAGTTGAGCGAGGTATTCAAAGTAGGAAATATGTCCCCTGACCTGAAAAATGAGAAGTTAACTTAGGGTGCAATCCCGATTTTAGGATACTGTTTTTGATAGGTCTTTCTCTCTGAAGAGAGAGAAAGTGAAAGTGTTGTTCTCTTTTTGTGGTATAATAAAGAGACACTTGGAATAAGACTTTATAGCGTTCCTGTGACAGGAAACAGAGATGCCTGTGTACTATGAGAAGCAATCACTGTCTTATTGGTTTGGGGACAGTGTTCAAGCCAGTGATACCTCAATAGGATGTTATTGACTGGCAGTGCATGAGGAATATACCTAGAGCCAAGAAATTTGGGAGAGAAATAAAGGAAGTAAGAATAGCTGTATATATGTATATACAATGTTGCCGTATATATATATGATTCCTTAACAGCAGGAGGAGAGCAGTGATAACCCAGGTTGATTCCTATATAACACATTTATAAATACATTCTCCAACTTGTCTAAAATCCTCACAGCATCCTCACAAAGGGGTCCTACCACTATTTTGAACAGCATACTCTACAGCCCACAGAAGAAAGCTTTAATGAAAGCCAAAGTAATATCTGGAATTTTACTTGACAGAGGGGGAAAAGTCTTCCAGGTCAGTTGTCAGGATAGAAAAGCTTATAGAATATGGTGAAAATTATAAAGCAAGGGACCAGATTTCCAAAGAGATGAAGGTAGCTGGTTTTATTTGAGTGCATTATGGCTAAAACCCAACTTCTTTGGTGCAGCAACCATTTGACTTGGATTCATTTGAAAATAATCTTGAGATGTTCCTTATGGAGATCTGGGCCTAGAAAAATGTTGTGGTTTGATAACTTGGCAACTTAAATGACAAGACATACTAGGTCAGCCAGTTGTGACCATTTTACTGGTCTTAAAAATTTTCATACTGAATTTCTTCCATATTTCTCTTTTCTTTTATAAAAAGGAAAAAAAATAATTTTACAAAAAGCTTTCCCTTTGAAGACTCGTTAAAATATTTTATTCAAGCTTGTGTTGCTAGAGTATGTATGAAGTATACCAGTTGTTGATGTATGTTGATCATTTGTTCTTACCAATATCTGATTGGAATAAGCATGTATTGGAAGGTTAGAAGTGCATGGGCATGATTCAAAATCAAATGGATTTTCTCCAAAAAGAAACCAAACAACAATCAGCCACAATGTCTTTTTAAGGATCTAATTGATAGTAAAGATAAATGTGAGTGTAAGAATGGGATTTTTAGACCAGGGTGACCGAAGGGATCTTTGAATAAGGATCTTGAGCATTTGTGTTTTTGGAGCTCATCCTTCAGGCCTGGACAGGAAGAATCCTGTGTTGTGTATGCATGTTGAGCAATGCAAAAAACACTCTGCCAAATCCTGGTACCACATGGTCTGAAATTGATGGCAGAAATGCATGAGTGACTTAAAGCACGGATGGTGTCGTCGTTATTATGGTTATTGATGTGTGGGTGTGTGTGATGGTTTTTATTTGATTGTTCACATGTGGGCGCTTCTCTGTGAGTGTCTTGTGCCTTGTTCTCTTCCAGCCCTGTGTGTCCCCTCTCCCTTCCCCCACCCACCTCCCCCACGTGAGGTTTTGGGGGACAGCATGCCCATGGTCTGGAATAGTGCTTGTGCTTTTGCTGCACTGCGGCCAGCTGGCTTCCTCTGGGTTTGAGCTTCTCTCTCTCTGTCTCTGTCTCTATCAATCTCTGCTATCTTATTATCTTCAAGTCTACCTGTCCTTTCACTTTCAACCTCTTGATACCTTAGAGGCTGATGATCTCATGAATTTATATATCCCAAATGAGTTTTTAAATAGTTTTTAATTCAGTATGTAATTATAGTAAGACTCAAACTGGGAACCCCTCAGAAATAATGTTTCACTTTCAGTTTTGGTTTCAAAATGTTAGACCTGTGCTAGAGACACGCTCATACCCTAGTCCGCTGCCCTTTGGTAACTTCCCCATGAATCTGCCTTTCCTTGACTTATTTTATAAGTAGTGCAAGCCAGGATAGAATTCTAAAAGCACATGAAATTCTTATCTTACTTTCTATTCAATTATGGGGAAATTCTGAAACCCATTTTTAAGAAAAATAGCCAGCAGTGCGCATTATTACAACCTCTATGTCCACCATCTGTGTGTGTACCTCTATGCACATCTCTCTGTATGAGTACACAACAGTGGCATTCAAAGGCTGTCATTCAGTCAAGGGACTCTGCAGACATTGTATGTTCTACTCAAGAACAAAGCTAAAGAGGTTTATGAATGGCTGCAGGACCTGAAGATTGTGTTTCAGCCTTGATATGCGGTTTGGAAACAGTGTGCTACTGTTTAACGGTGTGAACCAAATTTCTGCTAATGGGAAGAAGGGAAAAACTCTCCACAAAAGCTGACAAAGCAGGAAGAACAGGATGACTGAGCTTTTAGATTAAAACTACCGGGGGCGTCTGAACTCTCATGGCTGGTGATGGAAGTAACAGTTTCCATAATATGGCCCAGTGATCAGATGTATGCCGCTTAGGTAAGAGAGAGACCATCACCTACTTCTTCATAATGGGAATGGTAGTAGGGCCAGTGGGCTAAGTTTTCCTTTCCTAGAGGTTTTATTTGATCATTCTTTTTTGAAGTTTTCTGAAAAAATGAAACTCTAATGAACTGAACCCACAAGCATTTAAATTTTACTTAACCTTGACCTTGAATTTATTTAAATATCTCTAGGATTTCGTACTGTTTCTAATTTTGGAGGTTTTCCTTAACCTGGTTTAAAATTGCCACATCATACCACTTTTAGAAGCCAGTGATTTCCTTTGAAAAGGAGGAGTAACAGTCACAGAAGCACCATCTGAGGCGGCCTAGGGTGTGTGCAGCACCTTACAGCATCATGAAGCAAAATGCACGTCTCTGCAGAAGAGACGATTAGAGTGCATATATTAAATTATCATGTTTGCACCTTAGGATTTTATGAATTGCTCAAAAAAAATCCCATATGGACCAAAAGTAAACTTTCATTTGTTTAACAAAGTTTGAAGAAATTTGTTGAATATATTTTAATTAGAAGTGACAAGAAAGGGCTTTAACGGATGATAACAAAAGTTTAAAGAGAAAAACCCAGAAGTAATTTCTCACTTATTGTTAAATTGTGAAGTTTCCTTTTGAAGAATATTCTCTGCTTCATAAAATGCATCTTTGTCTTTTTCTTTGAGAAAATGAGAGGTGTATAATTTTTAACATGAAAGAAAACGACCTAAGCGAAAGCAATTTCAGGAGGTAAATTTTTCTTGTCCTCACTTGTACACTCAGTGCTTCAGTAAACTCTTCCTAATTATATTTATTCAGAAATTATCCAACTATGGCAGAGTGCTGTAGATTCATAAAATACAATAGTAGTGCAAAAGCAAATTTGACGCCACTAACCTAAATGGCTTCCCACTTTCGGGTGGAATCTGAGCAGTAGATTCCAGGTGATTGGATATATTTTAAAGTTTATGCCATTAGAAGTGACAGTTTCATCTTTAATGAGGTGTATATCAACTGTCTGTTACTTTTTAATGGGAAACTTTGCATATCAATGATATTTCATAAACATATTTGTCTTTATTTTTTAAAATTAGCTTTCTAATGCCCTCCCCAAGGAAACAAGCCTTCAAGCAGTAAAGCTGCCTACTTGAAACATCCCTGTTTAATATGGTTCAGTGGGTGCCAAGCACATACATAGAATGCTTTGATATTCATTGGGCCACGTAGAAGTGAGGGATTAGCCTTCTGAGAATTGCAAATTCATAATTAACTACAGAGAAGTACTTTATGTTGCCCATTTATAACAATTATTCAAATAATTGTCTTCATCAGTCTTTATACGATGGATAAAGCCAATTAGAAATAGGAAGACTTTCAACCAATCTGATTTCAGAACAAATGGATAGTATCTCTACTCAGTTGCCTCTATAATTTATTGCTTTACTCACTGCTTTTCCTTTAGTTGTCTAAATCCACAGTTTGCGAGCATCCGTGGACTTGCATCTTCCCATGTTTAACTGGCACCGGCCCTTGAATATTGGCACCCAAGGGTCATAGAGGATCGCAATTCTTCTTCAAGAGCTGATATGATGGCTTCCTTTCACAGCAGGAGCCCAACTATCAATGTTCATTTGGCTTCGTTATAAAACAACTTACAAAATCCAGGCTTTTACTGACCATTTCTACATGAGTGTTTCTGTTAATTTGGGTTTTTTTAAATAGTGCAGTCAGTTTCACATTGCTTGTTTCCAGAGCATTTCTTCAGTTGCTTTTATACTCTGGCTGGTAGTTCACTGAGCCTTACTCCCAAATCATTAATTCAGCAAATAGTTACTGAGAGTATACTTTGTGCTTGGCCATAAGAGAAGGGAAAGATGAAAAGATAAATAAGACATGCCCCTTTCTTCAAAGACCTTGCAGTGTATTAGGTCTACAAATATCTTCAAAAGTGACAAATCTCATTGGAGAAACATTACCAATTGTCGTGTGAATTAGAGGACCTGGAACAATCAGACAGGACCTTGAGCAGAACATGAAGAACAAGTAGAGGCCTCCTGGATTGTCTTAATATTTTGTGCTGTTTAATAAACTTCATTAAGGAGCAGCCTGTAAAGGAAGCATGAGGAGATGGAAGCCATCTCATAGCTGAGCCTCCTATTGTTGGTCCACTTCCCTCTTCACCTCTTTTAATTCAAATCACAGCTAGCTGAGAGCCCTCCAAGCTGGCCAACACTGGTGGGGATTCGGATATAGGTATTTCAAGCCCCTGCTTGATTATCTCCTGACCTAACTGCTTTTTCAGCTTTGAGGGTTTTATTTTTCAGGAATACCACTGATTTTTGAAATTCTCTTTTTTGAAAAATCATTTTGCGAATCAGATTTTCTGATGAAGGCATAACCTGCAATCTGCAGGTAGCAGATGCTGTACCATTCTGAAATAAGTGATCCAAGATCATCATAAATTGATAATGAACTGTATTTGTCAGTATTGGCAAAGGATTTCAATTTACAGTAAAATGTGAAATAAGCCTTACATACATCAGTATGTAACATCTAAGTATGTTTGTATTTAAGAGAGATATCAGAGCACTGACAGCTAACAGGCTTTATTTTCTTCTTTTTGCATGCTGTTATGAATGAGTGATTTTAAACATTCACCTTCATGTTTCATGTGCTTTGAAAGTGGAGACTGAGGAATCTTTCTGCCTCGATTGTGTATCACTAACAAAATTAAATGATTGGAGAAATGTACCTACAGATTAATACATTCGAGCTATCTGAAAAAGAGAGAGATAGCAAGAGATTTGGCTCATGTTTTTTAAGAAATTCATCCTCAGTTCTTAAGTGTTTTGTTTATGTCCCTTGAGGAATGAAAAGAAAAACGATTTGTTTTTACTTGTAAGGCCTTACTCAGTTGCCCAATTCCGCAGAAGAACTGGACAGTGAGGACCTCTCAGGTAAGGGCTAGTCATTAGGTAAGGCACTGCTGGGTCCAACCTGTGGGTGCTCTGTCCACTTCTACAAAATGGCCAATTGGTTTACTGAGCAATCCATTAGCAATTGTGGATTTTGAGACTAAAGAAAAGCAAATTTTCATTAACACTTTCTTCCTCCCCACCCACCTCTCTTCCCTATTTTAGTGGTGTGTATATTTCAGATTGGGGCTGATGCTATTAATGCAGTGGAAGTCAAGCCATCTTTGGGATTGTACTAAAGCCACTCTGTGTTCAGTGGCTTAAACTAATTTTTATGTTCTAGATGTATAATGGTTCAAGAGAAATTTTGTTGCGTTATAAAGCAGTTTAAGGATGTTGGATTATGAGACAAGATCTTTATTTTTAAAAAACACTCATATTGACCATTTACTTCTGTGGAATAGACTAGAAAAGCCATGTCATAGTTATCTTAGAAGTAGGGGATGGAGGGGGCAAGGAGGAAGGGGGGGCAATTGTTTTTCACACACCATGATGTAAACTAATTATCCACCTCAGACCTTTTTCACAGTACACTGAGCTCTTACAAAAGTAGGTTTCATGCTTGATTCCAGGATTTAGGTGTTACTAATCCAGAATAAGAAGCATATCCTAAAAAGGAGGGGGAGGAGATTTAAAATGGTCAGAGCTAAACAATTGTGTGAGCTCCCATGAAGTTGTGGGACTTCACTGCCAACCAGCTAGAGCTTCTTAAACATTTTGATCAGTCACTTCTTAATAAATCAATAAAGAAGTCCCCTTCGTCCTCATTGTGATGGAGAAACCAAGGCATAGGACTGTAGACGCTTACTCCAGCCTGTTGGAAAGAAGGGTTCCATATTGCCCCTTCTTGAGGAGATGTCACTGCAGCTCCCTTGAATGTTGGTTGTTGAGGTGCGGTCCTTAACTACAGGTCTTACCCAGTGAGAGAATAAGATAGTACCACGGAGTCTTTCAAAATGCAAGAGATTTATTCCCTACTATGGGCTTCTGTCAAACCTCAGGGATGCCTCTGTTTTCCTGTTATGTAGCATGTCCCAGGTTGAGCCTGGCTGTTGGATTTTCCCACAGAGTGGAAGATCTAGGAGGCCATGTTGGTTTTGTTCACTGCTATATGCCTGTCATGTAGTAAACACTCGACTGATCCTTGTTGGATGAATAAATGAATTCCAAATCCCAGTGAATTTAGAGAGAGAGATAAATATAAGATTAGAAAGACAGCCAGCCCATCAAGGGAGTGGTTCATTTTTGCCTCTTATTTGTGATGTATTTAGAGAAGTTGCAAAAACATTAGCCCGATTTTCTTTTAAAATAAGAGTAGATAAGCCCTTCTCCCTGCTTAGAATGTAATGCTGGACATAAGCAATCTGCTCTCAGGTCTGATCCTGACCCTAAATAAAATAGCTCTCTGACACACTGTCCCTGGCAATCAGATATTCTCAAGGATCCTAAGAAAGGACTGTGTTCTCATTGGCCTGATCCCTCTTGGCATATTAGCCAGACAAGGATTACTCAGATATGCAGAAGTAATTTTTCTCCTCTTTAGGAAAATGGGACTAAATCAGCCATCCATTCCTTCCCCCAGTATCATCAATTAAGGAATACTCCGGATCTCTCAGCTCTGCACCAAGTCAGATGTGGCCTTGCTGCAGTTCTATCAATCACCCCGGAGTCAGGAGCAATAAACCAACAACTGTTTGTGTTCATAATAATTCAGTTAAATTAATAATTACATTGTCCCCCTCCCCCACCTTCTCCAGGAACGCTGCAGTCCTGTATTGCTCAGGAGCCGTAAGTCATGTAGAACACTAATGATTTATCAGGCTGGGGCTGGGCTGCCTTTGCATCTGGTTTGATGAACTAATCAAAAACTGATTAGCACCTTTGTTCAAAGGGGATGCTGATTAATCAATTACTATTGATTGTGAGCTTGGCTTCACTCGGCAGCAAAGAGACATCTGAAGGGGAAAAAAAACAACCAATAAAAATTGAGCAGCTGTCATAGTGTTTAAATTTATTAAAACAAAATACATTATTTTTTATGAAGCTGTCTTGAAATGGGTCACTGAAGGGGAGCATATTGATTGAGAAAGGATGAACTTCTCAAATTTCTGTAGCCTAGAGACTGAATTCAATTATAATACAAGACAAACAGGTTAACACCCGTCTTAAACAGTCCATCAATAAATTAGAGTAGGTGTTGCACATTTAATGCTAAACTGTGGTAATGAATAATATTAGCATCCATTCCCTGCTCCATCTGGGTAGAAATTTCATCCTTTCCTCATTACGGATAAATGTTATATCCTGCATTTCCTTCTAAATAACGATGGTCTGTCTCCTCGCCCTCTTTTCCCCCACCTTCCCCATTCACCATGGCTACCTCAGCTAATGACAATTTCATAAGTAACATATGGTGCTCCATCCTCACCCAGGAAAGCAAGTTGCCCAGCTGATCCTCCTCTTTAATCTGCATTAAAAAATTATGCCTGTCTGTAGTTCAGTGATTTAATTATTGGCAGACCTGGGAAGCTTATCCACTTCTACTTTGAACCCTTTCATTTACTTTTTGGGTGTTAACTTTATTGATGACTGATCCACAAGAGTTTTGAATTGTTTTATCAATTACATCTGCTGTTTCCCAGTGACAGCTGGTGGTTATTGCCACCCATGTGGAATAGAATAGCTTTAAGCATATTTATCCTTCTATTTTATTTTAAAACTTTTTAAAAATGTCTCCAACTGCCTCCCTCCCTTCAGCAATGGAAGGGCCCTGGGGACTGTTTAGTGGAGTGTGGTGGTAAATATACAGTGTGCCAGAGAATGGCCCTCCAGCACAGTCAGAGCAATCCATCAGTCTTCTGCTTTTGAAGCAAAGGCACCAACAAGAAATTCCAGAGCTGTCATGTTTCCCAAAAACATGTTTTCTACTCTTGCCCTACAAACGAGAAAGTGATCTGGAAAACTCCTACAACATGTCCCTCCCAATCCGTAGAAAAGGATAAGTGGAGGGCACATTCTCATGGCTTTGATAATCCATGCCAGGTGTTAAGGAGGCATCCAGGTGAGTCAACTCTGGTGCCCTAAATGGATTACAAAGGAAACATGGGCTCAAGATACAGTCTCTTTTAGATAATGGAGGCACTTAAAGGCCCTTGGGTCCAGATTGTCAGTCCCAGGGTGGGGTGTAAGACCATCTGGCTATTGTGAGTGTCCTCAAAGTCTGTCTGAACTTGCTTGAAATGTGTGTGAGAAACTGCCAATAGGCATAGCATTTTGAGGAATTCTTTCCTTAACTAGTCCCCACCTAAACTGTGGCCCAGATTTGGCAAACAGCCTATTTCATTTCTTTGGTAGACTAATAATAATAACAATAATGATGAGAAAGAAAACAAAGACCAGCTGGACTGTGTAGATACATTCAAGATATGGCCCATAAGTCTAAAATGTGGTATGATTTAGCTCATATTTGCATAGTATGTACAGCGTAGAAGGCTCTTTCACACATGTCAGTGATCTCATTTGATCTTCGTTCATTCAGCACAGTTGTTTGAGCTCCTACGTTCCGGCCTGTGGGCTCAGCAGCAGGTATGCAGCAGTGAACAAGACCAGCCAGAGCGGGTGCTGGCATGGATCTCACGTGCCAGGCCCCTGCTCTTGTACAGTTCTGTTAGAACTAGAAGGGGAGACAGGCTCGAAACACAAGATATTGTCGGACTGTGACAAATGCTGTGGAAAAAATAAAACTAGGTAAAGTGAAAGTGAGTGGGGCTGGGAAGAGGAGGAGGCTAGTTTAGAAAAGCTCACCAGGGGAGGCCATTAGGGCGGGAAGACCAGGGATGAGAATGAGCTGGCCATGGGAGGATTTTCATGAAAATCCTGTGAGATTGTTGAGGAAGGGTGGTTAGTCTCAGTTTACAAATGAGGGAGCTGGGGCTCCAGAGGTTAAATGATTTATTCAAGAGGCAGAGTCAGAATTTGAACAAATGGGTCTTCCTGCCTCTAGGAAATAGAGACTTCGGTTTAAAGTGGTTATCCTTCCCCTGTGAAATCAAACTTTGCTCTGGGGTCTTCTTGGGAATCTTTCTCCTCTTGGACCCTTTCCACTTCAGTCTGTGCATCCAGGGGATGAGGAGGGAAAAGTTGGGCTCTCCAGAGCCCGTTAGGTGTAGAGCCACATGCCAATTGACCTGGAAAGATCTCATCCAGCATTAAATCAAGCTCTGCCCCCTTCAAAGAAGACCTTAAACTCTGCTCAGATATTTTCAGTGCCATAGTCCCATTGACTCTCCTAAATTCTGGGATCAGTTTCCCGCTGAGATGGTCCTAAATGCCATGGGAAAGTGTTGGATTGCACTTATTTTTATCTTATAAATAAGATTCCCTTATTTTTAAGTTCCGTTTAGTACAAGGCAGTAGACTGACAAATCGTATTGGGTCCATGCCAGCTTCTCCATGGCTTCCCCACAGTGTGGGTTTAAACTTTACCGTATTGCTGATCTTCCCATAATCCAACATGCTACTCTTTCCCCAACATGCTGCTGGGGAGGAAGGAGATCATTAAATAGGAACTTTTCCTCCAAACTAAAAAGTTGGCAGGCTACGACACAAAATGTGAATTCCAGTCTTACAGTCCTACAGGTTGGACACTGCTTTGGGGTGATTTCACCATATTCATTAATCCATCCTCACACCCCCAAATGCCTGAGGTCCACTGAAGCATCTTTCTCCAGAGAGAGATTCTAGTGGGACATGTATGTTTGGAAATACTGTACAACTCTGTCCTCTTTATACTCCTCTAAGGAAAACTCTGGTATCATCCTCACTGCCTTCCTGTTGCTTCAGATGGAAAAGGCAATCACACTTTGAAGTCATTATTATTATGAAATGAATAGAGAGGACTCAGGAGTGTGCCTTTTGGTCTCTCACGTGATGCTAAATGTCTTGGGAGGACTTACATCCTGTTACATCAAGTCATTTCCTCT